TTGTGGTTCATATATTCTCAGACTCAAAACCATTGACGATCCATCAAAACCCACTGACGATCCATCAAACCCACCAATCGCATATCTGCAAGTGAAGACAACCTTAAACATCATGACCAAATTTTTGTGAATTGTCAATGGGATAGCCAGATACAAACAAAAGGTTTTGCAGTTGTATTTTGCATTAATATGTTGTATATTTCAGAAATGTTATTTATATTAGCACCCTTAATTAGTAAAGCCTATATATTGTTTTAGTAACTCATCTAAGTTTTTCCTTATGCTAGTTACTAAAGAAGAATAAAAACAATGGGGAGAAGAAACTTACAGTTTTCGTTTAAAACAGCAAGAAAATGGCAGCCTCTTCTTAGGATCAAACCTTTCAGTTGTGCTGTTAAACTTGTTATTGTTAGCTTCACATTTTCAGTGAATATATAGATTTAGAGGGAAAAACAGAAGAGAAGAATGTTCTTACTTCAGGTACTCGTTACCATCAAAACCACCAACAACATAAATTGAATGGTTATGCGCCATAGTTACAACTGCAAATATATGAGATCACAGAATAGTGAAAACCCAGAAAATCCAAAGAAAAAGGTTAAGGTATCAATCATCTCGCTAATGAGCTTACAGAGGTAACAAAAACAAACATCAATCCCCTCAAATTATCTTTACCGACGAAAAGAAAGAAGGCACGAGGACGAAGATCCTGAGATGCGGCATCAAAGAATGATCAAATATGCATCTGGTGGCTGATAGAATTTGCAGCAGCCACCAGATGCAAATTCTTTGTGGTCAAAGAAGCGACAATCGGCGAGTTTAACCGCAGAGGTTTCGTTAATGATGAGAGCTCATCCGAGGGAACCACCGGAGGATAAGTGACAGTGGTCGGAGAGGCGTGGTCGCAATCTTATTTAAGGTTCACTATTGAAAAATTGAGGCCGGTTTTGTTTTCTTCTCTGGTGGCTCTTAACCTTTCGTGACAGCAAATGAAACATATTGATGTTGATTATCTAATCTAACGGTTTATAATATCGTTCCAAAATATGCCATAGATTGTTGACATGGCAGCTTATTAAAATGAAAAACAGGCGTTTCAGTTTGGCGCTGAACAAAATATTTTGAGTTTAAGACACAACACAAACAAATTTCCTAAATTTGTTGGAAAAAAATGCGTAGATTTTCTTAAAAGACATGATAAAAGTAAGACTATTTAACAATGAAATAATAACTATGGCAAACCAATTGGATTGAAACACAATTTTAAAAATCGTAATATTTGTAGATATATGTTAGACACATGTTAATGGCTCAATACTAAAGAAATTTCTTCATTATATGTATTACCCTAAACCCTAAATGAAACACTCAATGGCCTCACCTTCCTAGTTTGTACTTTTGTAATATTTATGTTCTTAATATGGAACAACAATTTATTATATTTTCTTTTGTTAATTGATAAACATAAAAATATCTATACTTATAATTGTAAGGTTAAAAATCATACGTGTCGTCTCCAGAGTTAGTTTACGTGTCGTCTCCAGAGTTAGTTTAAGACTTGACTTGCCGATATCACCATTAATGAATTCGGAATATTACATCCCTTACCACTGCCCATATTTGATTGATTTGGGCCACGATTTTTCTAATGTGGTGTTAATGGACTTTGTTAAAATTTTATGTTTTGAGCCATAATTTATCTAAACTATTTCAAAAATTCCATAATTTTTTTTTTTACAATATTTGAAAATAATATTTTATGTATCTTTCGTTTATTCCATCGG